AAGGAGGGAAGAGGGGGAGGGGGGATGTAAGGGAATAGGGAAGAGGGAAGAGGGTGACTGATGGAGTGATGAACTTATTTTTTTATTTTTTGAGAGGGGGGATGGGGATGTGTGTACCGGTGCCGTATGTCTATGCGGGTAGGTTCAGTTGACGCTTGCGCCACATGAACCGGTAGTGGTACTTACTGCATCGATCGAGGCGCATAAAAGCTTTACGGCGGTGCTGGCCGATTTATTTTGGAAGGCGCGTTGACATCTATGTCTCTTGTATGTAGACGGGTAAGGGAGAGGTAGGTATGCTCTGCCGAAGAAGATATTCGTCTCTTTTATTGGGGGATTGATTGATTGGTTATATGGGGAGGTTTCGTCGCTATGTGCGGGGGCTAGGTTAGAGATCGATATTCATGTATGTATGTATGTATGTATGTATGTATGTGTGTGTATGTATGTATGTATTTATGTATGTATGTATGTATTAGGTTTCATATTTGAGAGACCGTTCGTCGTTTGCTTTACAAATCTGCTGCCTTTGGTCCGAAAGGGTGTTGCTACTTACTGGCTTACTGGATTGTATTACTACACTCCGTCGGGAATATGATATGCATTATGAACGCGCTGTGCCAGGTCACGGCATCCTGGAATCTGAGCTACTCTTTTAAATGAAGTTTTAACGGATTTCCCGAATCTAGTTCTTATTTAAGTGCTGTAGAGGATCTATGCTACAATCTTTTCTTCGGGGTCCGGTGAGAACCTGCGAATAGAGAGGATTCATCTGAATCTTCAGAACAACCTGGACTACCCGGGTGGAGGTCAAAAGAGGTAGCATACAACGCTACTAGACGTATAGCACTCTCTCCGAGAATCTCCGAGAAGAGATTCCCATAGTCTAATATGCAAGCATCGACTCCGAGGAGGAATTTCCAATGGATGAAGCTCCGTCGACGAGGATGTCCCAGGCAATAAATAGGCATTTCGAACATTGCAGAGAAAACCCAGCTTGCACCCATAAAATTATAGAAATCGCAAAGCGTCTTGTTGCGCAGCCAATTACTTGCTGCTTTCGGGCTCCCGGTACGTAGATATTCGTCTCGTTTACTCTGTACTCCGTAAGTGAGCACTCGCTCCTGCAACCCCACCCGCCGGCGCCCTAAGCGTCCCGAGCCTCAACCAATCGGGTAAATGATTCCGTCTACCACACACACCGTCTTTCCTTCTTGGCCCGCGAAAATTTTGAGTATCAATAGATAACAGCATTCTCACCGGCTCACTATCGAATCCGATAAATGGATTCAGTAACCGGGCATATGGTTTAGTGGTATAATACTCCCTTAGCATGCAGCGTCGCCTGGCAACGTCATACGTGGGAGTGGTCCTGGGTTCGATTCCCAGTTTGTCCAACAAGCTTCACTTGGTTCAATTCCAAGATTATCTCCCAATTATCTTTTTGTGTTTTCTTGCTACTTGTTGACCTTTTCGTGTTCAAGTATACAGTGACACGATTATATATATATATGTGCATATATCTTTTTGGCCCTTTTTGCTTATGAGAAGAATTTTATTTCATGCTAATTTTTTTCATACAGGCGGGAAAAGAACCGGTGTGCGCTCGCTTATCTATACTTATAGCAGGAAGGGGAGCAGTGCAGTTTCAACTCTCAACGTCCGATTCCTACCCATCTATCTATCCGCATTCATACGACGGGCCAGGCAATAGATGGAAAATTGCATCCTCCTCTACCATAAAGGGTAGTAGGGGGTCATTTGAACGGTCCTCTGATCCTCTTTTATAAGAGACGGCTATTGGACCGCTTAAATTCAGTACTAAGCTCTTTTCAAGAATAGTTTATAGAAAAGACCGTCCCATTGAAAGAGACCGTTTTGTGGCCGTCCCACAGCCGTCCTCGTTTATATTTTTAAAACAGGCTTATTAATAAGCTCGTTTTAAAAAATTAAAACAGTCCGATGACCATTTTAAAAAAGATATAGTTATAAATAAAAATTATCTTTTGAATGAAATTGTTTTAATAATAATTTAAGAAGTTCGACGCCAAGATATTTCTCGGTATCGCTGCTACGGCTTGTATATCAACGCTTTAATTTTTTTATAATCGAAATCGATCGATTTAGCAAAAGTTTACCCGCGTATGATGGCCGCCCTTGCAGCCTTCGCAAAGAGGGGGTAGTGGTATAAGAGGTGTAGCAAGTGGTGAAGGTAGTAAAAGGTCGAGTATCAGCCAATAAACAGAGTATTTGCTTACTAATTCACGTTCTCAAGGACGGTTTTAAGCTCAGGGACGGCCATAGGACGGCCATAGGACGGCCATGGGACGGTCTTAAAACGCTCGAAGACGGTCCCAAGACGGTTTTTATACGAAAAGACGAGTATTTAAAAAAAACGATTTAATCGAATAAAATAGTTTTATTTTAGCTACGATTTAAATAATTTAAATCGTTTGTTTTCAGATTCTATTCAATCTTAAGTATAGGCCTAGGGTGATCCACCAGCCATACCAACCTATTAAAATCGTCCCTTAAAGAGATGGTTATCGGACGATCAGCTGACCGTCCAAATGCTCCTGCATTCCCCTTTAAGGTAGGTATCTAGCTGCGTACTTTACCAGCTTAGTATAAGCTTCTTCACCCCGCCCCACCCCCTTCCCCCCTCTCTCTCTGGATAACCAACCAACTCTCCATCTCTCTCTCTCTCTGAAGACCTACGAATCCATTTCTTTCCCTTGTCGTTCGTTCCGCGTTCCGAGATCATCATTATCGTTGGTGAAGGAATATATATATTTCTTAGCTATATATATATGCCTGTTTGTTTATGTCTAGTTCCTTGTAACGCATCGCATCGCATCGCATCAGCTCGCACGGGTCGCAAGCCTGCCAGCAAAGGAAGCACAGCAAGGGACCCACCCGAAGCCACAGCAGACATCGCCCAAAGTACTACCTTGAGGCTCGTTCAACGTCTCCTGACCGTCGTCGCGAGGCATTTGGCGTCAAACAGCCTTTTCAACAGCGACCTTACGCTCCAGAAACCCCTCTTGCCATTCCGGCCATTGATTCCATCACTTCGGCATATCAGGCTGGAAAAGAAGATGCGATGGCGGAGAGATTCGGTTTTACTGATAGAGTTGCTCAAAAACTACCACAGATCATTCGACCTGTCATTCAACGTATCATTGAGCCAAGGAACATTGTGTCCTATGCACGTATGGAGCCGCACTATGCCGAGCGTCCCAGAATAATCAAGCCTCCTCGATAAATCAATGACCACCATGTTGTTAATGATTTGCGCTCGGTCGAGGATAGCTTTATTATCAACAGACAACGGCAGGCTGAAGAATACATCAGCCGGAGGGATTTCAACCGAAGGGAGCTTGATCAAAAGGAGACTGAAGGAGGAAACTTGAACGGAGAAGACTTGAACGGAGAAGACTTGATCGTAGAACGATTGAACTTGATCGAAGACAACTTGATTTTGAACGAAGACCGCTCGAACCAAGACCACACCTGTTGGATTGTCGAGCCAGCGATTTTGAGCGAAGGCCACTTGAGAGGCCCAAGCTCTTCGAAAGAAGACATAGCGAGATCCGGCTCGAGTACGCGAGACCGATCGAGGCCAGGCAAGACTACTCCGATCTCGGTCGCCCATCGAGAGAGACTCCTCGAGGCATCGGAGCCCGCCGAGTAACACCTAGAGACTCTCACCCTTTTCCACCAACTGCTCCAGCGCGACGCTACCCTCTAGCACATCAAGCTTGGACGGCTGATAATTGACCGTTCTCTGCTGGATGCTGTTTTCCATCCTTCATGCCTCTCGATGGGACCGCAAAGAGCAAAGAGGAGGGTTTGAAAATGATGGCGCTGTGAAGGTTTTCACAAGGACCTGGAGTTCGTGTTTGGCGTTTTGGGGTATGAGAGGAGGATTTTCATGTCGCTCGATTGACATCCTGCATGGTTTTGGTTCGGTGAATGTTTCATGGACTAAGAAGGCAGTAAAAGGCTCATAATTTGACGACATGACTTTGAAAATCTTTCTCATCCGAAGCAATGCCATGGATTAGTAAAAGTAGCACCGAACCATCTCGCTTCGGTTACCTTCTGATTTGCTCGTCCCAAGAGAAACGATTATGTGCTGTAGGTGAGCTGTCTTTTTCCGTGAGCGTGTTGATGGGAGTGCAGGAGACCGCCTTCGCTCTGAGGGCGTTTCTTGCATGAATGCCGGAGTATTGGAGCGGATGCCACAAATCGCACAAGCTGCTGGCTATGCGTCTCGCTTAATGCGAGTTCGCCGCTGGCAATATGATGCGGGGGACATTCGAACTGCGGAATCCACCTATTCTTTGCATTCTTGGCTGCCAAATTGATGACTGAAAATCCTCATCGGTAACCATTGGCTTCGCAAGCCATAGTTCTGAAGAGCCTCGTGCTTTGGCTTAGGGCGATATCCCAGGATAGGCGTGGGGTCGAGTCGTCGGTTGGTTGTATTTATTAAAGTCTGGCGGACTATAAGCGTAGCATGCGCTCCTCGTCATGGGACCTCCCAAAGGGTACGGAGACGTGCAAAGCTGAGGGTTTATATACAATCCATCAAATCGATCTTCCAAGGGCCAAACCCTTGCGCAGCTGTAATCTTCTCTTGGATCGACCTAATATCACCTTATTATACCCCAGAATGCAATTCAAAAGAGTGTCAAATCGAAACGAGTAAGTCGTCGGTAAACCTGGGTAGAGAGGAAAATAGGTCGGATGAGTTGAAATTGAAGAGTCGTGGCAAAGAATCTGCCACAATAGCCTCGTGCTGTACAGATCAAGGCACAACGACGACTGTTGTGACCAGCATAGGTAGGTGATATTATGCCTTCAGATATGCCCAGCGATTTCCACAGGAGAAGTGACGCTTGTTCGAAGGATAGAGCCCAGATTGAGAAGGGGGGCCGTTCTGAGACCGGTATTAATACCAGACCAAGTCCACAAGCGTTCAGCGACTTTGAGAATATCACCAGATAAGAGCGGATGCAATGGCACGCGTAGTGATCTCGAAACAAGTAAGAGAGGATCAGACGGATTCGTTGCTCGAAACTTATATTCGAGAGTATGCTTCCGGACGTGCTGCTTTCGGAATTAGCGGCTTCCTCATCGCTAACATCCAAAGAGACAATAGATCCTGTAAGGAGAAAGCTTCAGGGGACGTCCCGAGAAGCGATTGAAGCAATCCTTCGAGATCCAGCCCGTCCTGGATAGGCATATCTAGATGCGACCTCGCAAGATGTGACCATAAGGTACTGGACCGGTATGGTACATCGTTGTCGGTATACCGGTGAAAAATTAGGAGCCTCGAGAACTTGGACTCGACTCCGTAGATAGAGATTCTACCCAGCTTCCAAGACAGGATACTGAGCTCATCCTTCACGGGAAGAATGGAGTCGGTACCTCCGAAGCCGACGATCCATCTTTGCCTTTTCGGCGGCCAATAGGATGACTGAGGAATATTCAGTCTCATCAGCCGTTGATTTCGTCCAAACAACATCCGAGCGACGTTGTTCTTTTACGCATAATAACGCGTGGGATATGATCCTCAGGAAAACAACAAGAAGACAGACAGGATCATATGATCTGAAGACCCTTAGCGAGACTTTTCGGCTGTTCCACGGCTCCTTCTTTTTGGCGGGGCAAAACTGCCCCGCCTATGGAACCACAACAACTATAGCTCGTACATAGCTCCGACTTGATCAAGTCCATCAATCCATTTGCAAACTTCAAAAATTCTTTGCTAACTCACTCCTACAAACTCGCTCCAGCTATTCCTCTGTCCATAACCGCAATCATGCCTCGCCAGTTCTTCGTCGGTGGTAACTTCAAGATGTCAGTAACCCCTCGGTTGGTGGGGGTGGGCTAGAGGGGCTGAAATCTTGATGGCGAGAAGCTGAACCCATGGGATATAATAGGAACGGCTCAGTCGAGCAGATCAAGAAGATCATTTCAGTTATCAACGAGGCCAAGTTGGACCCCAACACTGGTCAGGAGTCCTGTTCTACTGCTGCCTTGAAGCTACCCGTCACACAGCCAGAGCATGATTTTTGGTCTGCTGAATAGCTTCCAACCACGTCTATCAAAACAAACAGCTTCAGACTTTGCGTGAATATCTGCTAATCTGCGAACAAAAATTAGAGGTCGTTATTGCCCCTCCCTCCCTCTACCTCCTCCTCGCCCGCGAGCATCTCAAGCCCGGCCTCGAAGTCGCCGCCCAGAACGTCTTCGACAAGCCTAACGGCGCCTTCACCGGCGAGATCTCCGTCGAACAGCTCAAGGACAGCAACATCGGCTGGACCCTCCTGGGCCACTCGGAGCGCCGCGTCATCCTGCAAGAAGACGACACCTTCGTCGCCAGCAAGACTAAGGCTGCGCTCGACGGTGGCATCAGCGTCATCTTCTGCTGCGGCGAGTCTCTGGAGCAGCGCGAGAGCAACCTAACCATCAAGGTCGTGACTGCGCAGCTGAAGGCTATCAAGGACAAGGTGCTGGACTGGAGCAAGATTGTCATTGCGTACGAGCCGATCTGGGCTATTGGGACTGGAAAGGTTGCCAGCACGGAGCAGGCGCAGGAGGTTCATGCTGCCATTCGTAAGTGGCTGAAGGAGGAGGTGAGCGAGAAGGCGGCCGAGGAGACGAGAATCATCTACGGTGGAAGTGTGAGCGAGAAGAACTGCAAAGATCTGGCTAAGCAGGCTGATATCGATGGGTTCTTGGTTGGAGGTGCTTCCCTCAAGCCCGCTTGTAAGTTTCCCCTCGTGAATGTCTTTGGTGGGTAGCGTCGCTAACTAGTGCAGTTGTGGATATCATCAACAGTCACTTGTGACTGCATTACAATGGGAATAAACACTCACTCACGGCTGTAAATAAAACTACGAGTGATACGACATCTCCATTTCTAGTTTAAGCCGTAGAAAATGTATTACTTCACGTCTAAATTTGAATACCCTTTGTGACGATCGTCTAAGACATCAAGCAACATTTATTTGCACGGGAAGCCTGGTGAAGCCTGCTGAGGCGTATTAATGCAGACCCAGCCCTTTATAATAAGATAACCTCTTGCCCCTATCTCACAACTTAGCTCAAAACCCTCCTATCACATCAAGTCCCTTTCAACATCTAAAGTTACACCAAACCCAACCTATCTACCCACTCACAAATCCCCCCTTCCCACCCAGGTTTTCAAAAGTCATAAACAACTCACCATCCAAGGCAACTCAGCCAGACTAAACTCTCAACCGCCGGACCTGAAGAGCTGTCAATAAGAGCTGTTACCTACCACCACCAAAGAGCTCGAAAAACGATTGGGAATTCTTCGAGAAGGGATCTCATCTGATAGTATCTATGTTGTAAGGCCGCCATTATGCGTAATGCTTCTACCGATTTAGAGGGGGAGTCAGTGGCAGAGAGAGAAAAGCAGCAAGAAAAACAGCTTAAGGGAATATGTGACTGCGTGATTTGACAGGATCGTGACTCGTTTGCGTCGCATGTATCCCTAGCTAGCTATATAGCCTAGCTAAGTACCCATTTCGATGATGTTGAAAGGAATGGAAACGAGTGGGCTGGGGAAGGAGGGAGGGAGCGAGGGAGGAGTGAGGGATTTGGTATATATGTAGATGCATGCCAATTCTTTGTAATGCCAACGATATATTGACACTACATGCATTACATACAGAGACAGATCCAGGCCAGGCCAGGCCAAAGCTTCCACGTTTCATCTCATTCTATCTAGCCTAGCATGCCTCTTTCCAAACCAGGATGGTTGATACTAGAGGAAGGAAATGGATGATGACCTTGAAGATGCATGAGCCGCTCGCACCTAGTCTTCGAACCTCAGGTTGCGAGACTTCTTCGGCGCATGAGTGGACGAGGCCATCTCTGGCTCTCTGGCTCGCTTCTTATTCTTCTTCTCCCTTTGGCGTTTGAGCCGTTCAGCCTGCTTTCGTGCCTCGGCACCGAAATCAGGACATGCTGTGCTCGCACTATTGATCTTGACTGTCGTCTTGGTCGTCGTCTTGGTTCGCTGACTTCCGGGGGGGCGATACTCGGGGTCTTCTTCGGACTCGGAATCGGGAGCGAGGTCGATATGGTGCTTCCCTTGAGAGCTTGGAGGAGCTGGCTGGTATCGCTTTTCTTGCGAGCTAGCGGGCTGGAATTGGAAGCCCTGGATGCGTCGCGTGACTGAGGTTGTGGTAGTGGAGACTGAGCGCGGGTTCTTAGGTTGCTGTTGACGGTGTTGAACGGGGCTTGAGTCTGTCCATGAAGAATCGTTACGAGGCCCAGCTCTGCTTTGGGCTGGAATAACGACTTGGATAGCAGAGTTGCGGAGGCCCTCATCGTACGTCTCGATCACCTCGGTGGTGTTCTCTCGCTCCACGATTTCAATCCCTTCCGTAAGCACATTGCGTCGACGTTGGTTGTGAAGTCCTACAGTCTCGATGTCCTCACTGAAACCACGGTGCCCATCTTGATCCTCGATCTGCGAGGCAAATCTATCGAAAGTAATCCAGCCTGTTTTGTTTTTTACGGGCTCGAGTTCGCCGAGGTTCTGCATGACTCGAATGTTGAATTTGATGCCGGTATATTCTTCGATGAGCTTCTTGATTTCCAGGCAAGGGTTGCATGGTGCTCTGGTAAGGAAGACCTCGGCTTCGATATCCTGGGCGAAATTGCGCAAGCGCCAGATCTCTCCTAGAAGCGCTCTGACTGGCTTGTCTCCTGCAATCTCCTTCGTTTTCTCACATGCGTACCAGAGCATGAGGCGGATCTCAACGTGAGAGGCACTAGCGTGTCCCTTTTCCTTACCGTGACGCTTCTCGAAGGGATGGCCAGGGAAATGATGATTGTGAAATTCGCCCCATCTTTGAACCTCTTTCGTCCACAAAGCGGAGTCGAGGACGTTGGGGTGTGGCTCGTTGCACGCCATCCATCCTGGAAGGGCGTATTTGAGGGGAAAGCTGTCGCCTTGGTGACGAACAAAGCCGGCGACTTTGCCTCGGGCGAGGCGCATATTGCCTTGAATCACCCTAGTTGAAGAAAGAAGTTAGTAAATGCTTGAAGGTAAATCTTGCAGATCAAGTGAAAATAAAGCTAGACTTACTCAACGGGACGAAGGATGTATAGTTCCCTATTTGGGCCTTGGTGGGCGAAGTACTGGTCGAAAAGGTGAATTGTCTCTGGCGTTTCACCTTGCTGCGCGCTCTCTGGTGCTGGCGGAGAAAGCAAGGCAACGAGTTTTGCTCGGCAATCCAAGAGCTCATCATTGTTTCTAGACCCAGGGAGTTTGATGATTCTCTCAATCTCGTCCTTGTCTCCCAATGAAGATAGAAGAGCCGCCGTAGCTCGAAGGGCTACGAGGACATCTTTCTCCTTGCGAATATCAGCCAGGGAGGGCTTCTTTACTCGCTGCACTACTGGTACGACCTGGTACGCCAGCTCGTCTTCATCGTCGGAAGGTTCTTCAGAGTCATTGTCCGTTGTCGGTGGTGGTGCTCGCGTCTTGTTCTTCTTCTTGTTCTTCACGGTGGAGGTCTGTGGGAATCGAGGAGCTTCAAGGGGGGCAGGCTCGTCGTCTGTGTCTCCGATGTCAATTATTTCTTGACGGCGATCACGTCCCCGAGTGTCAGTAACTTTCTTCTTGCTTGAGTGGCGGGCCATCTTCGATGTTAGGGATTCTTCATGAGCAGAAGACAGCAAAGGCAAGAAGGAAGTACTGGTGGTGGGGTTGTAAGGTTGTGAGGAGGTGTTGTGCGTGGGTGATGAAGTGGTGAAAGGCGAAAGTAGTAGAGGTTTGACGCGGAGTGTTCTTAAAGAAAGCGCGGGCAAAGGCGAACTGGTGCTCGCTTCGCGTGTTTTGGCGTGTTTCGTTCTGGGAAGGCGCGCGGCGCGTCAGAGGAACCCGACCAACTCACCTTCCCGGGATTTGCTTACCCTACTTATAGAATTGCAAAGCAACGGGGAGTACTTCTACTTGAGCAGTAGCAGAGCGATGGCGAAGCTTCACAGTCGTTGGTGCTAAGTCGAGATTGAGGCGAGACAATCTCTCTAGACTTGATGATTGTGGTTGAGAGTTGAAGAGGAAGGTCGTGGTTGAGAATTGCAAAGAAAGGGTGATTTTCGAGAAAAGAACAGCGCCGTGGGGATTATAAGCTAGGATGCCGAACCTTTCGCTGGTGAGTTTCTTCCTCCTTCACTCGGCGTTCGTCTGACCCACCACGGCTGATCACCTTCCCCGTCTTACAACATCACCTCTCAACTCTCTCTACTTGAAACCCGATAGTAATCTCCTCCCTCGAGAACCCAGCGTGAATAACGATTCGTACTCTTGAGGTTCTTGTCGAAAACAGGTGAAGGGCACCGTTCCGCTACTACTCTGGGCAATGCTCCTCGCTTCAAACTCGACATGCCGGGATTTGAAGAACAGACTATGGGCGAGTACTGCAGTTGAAACTCCAACTAAGGCAGGTAATAGTAGTAGTAGTAGTAACTGTATTGATTTCCGTCAAGCGGGTTGCAGACGAGAGCCTGCCGCTCTGGGACCTCTCATCGGTACTGGGACGTGCCAAATCACAGTTACATGCAATTCGAGCAGAACAATTCTTCAAAAAATAACTCAATACAGTATAACAGAGCTATTATTGATCGGGCCTTTCCTTCAGACATAGGATTACGAAAATAAAGCGCGACTTGTAAACTCTAGAGTTTGAGTTATACAGTCACGGCAAAAGGCAACTCCAAACCGAGGTCAACTGATAGATGAAAGCAAATATATCCAAACTGAGAACGCCGCGAGTCTCAGACAGGCCTTTGACGCCCAAGTACAAGCTTACTGTAAATAAAAATCATATCAGATAAGGACCCAAAAGGGGCCCGGATACGGGTAGGAGAGACTCCTTAGCCGACCACTGTAGTATACGAGGAGCGGAGCGTACCCAGTTTTTTCCTCGCACAACATACGTTGCTAGCGTATGAGAGGGAAGGAAGAAAAGCAAGCACTCAGCGTTTTCAGCATCTGGAGTAGATCTCAATTAAGGCAGGTAGAGGTCCAGAGAGGGCCCGAGATAGGCCAGACATTCATACCAGGAAAGGGTATTAAGGGCAGTTGATTGGTTGCTCTCTTGCATCCTGCAGGCTGAGGCATTGGCACCAACTACCGCCTGCTTTGTGCCAACCAAAAAAATGCATCTGAGCAGAGCACACAACACGAACTCGATAATAACGACCAGAGCTCTCTCACCTCCGATGGTTCCGGTATCAGCAAAAGAAGACTACATCAGATCTGATATCGAGCAACTTGAGAATTCCAAGAACATCAGCTAGGGATCACAAGAATACAGGAAGATTTTGAGATTGTGGGTGAGATCAGACATGCACTCTGGCTTTAGAATTTTTTATTCCTTGTACACCGTGCTTCCATGCAGCAAGACCCAAGCCCAAACGACCCAAATGCAGTGTATTTACTCGTCGTCATCCTCGCTCTCGTCAGCCTGCAAAATGTTAGTCTCGTCCGAAGGAACCAGTGGCATTTCACATTACCTCGACGGTGGTTTGAGCAATCCGATCCAAATCACGCTGTCCAGATTGTGTGATACGGCGACCTCCCTTGTCCTCATCCTGCTCCAAGACACCGATCTTCTCAAGAGCTTGCATGACCTTGCGGTCTACGCTTCCGGAGGCATCGACGTGGTGGGATGGGCGGGATCCACGGTTGCGGGTGGAGCCGTGAACCTTGCGAAGACGTCCAACACCGACGGTTTTTCTGAGGTAGACGTGGCGGGCGATCGAGGCAGCGCGGACGTAGAACCAATCGATGGATTGAGGTGGGAGCTCCTTCGCTGGGCCGGTCTTGACGGTGTCAACCCAACCTAGGGAGGGAAGTATCAGCATGAGAGATTCTGCGAGCGAAGGAAATGCGCGCTCATACCTGGGATAGGAAGCTTTCCCTGTCTCTTCAAGAAGGCAGCGTATGCCTCAATGAACTTTTGCGCCTGAGAAAACCCATCGAATCAGCATTATTCCGTCAGCAGAGGTCTTTGCGACCCCCTCACTCCTGCTCAATTGTATTCGAGAGTTCGACGTGATGCGCGCATATCGTCGGGTGGCAGTCCGTCCTTCTATTTTATAACCGGCAGATTCATTATACTTACATCGACATCGCGAACTGAGATTCCTCCGGCCATTTTTGCGGTGGACAGGATGTTCGAGAGATTGTCGTTGTGGTCGTGTTGGAGGTGTACAATACGGAGATGACCTTTGCGACATTTGAGAATGTGTGTTAGAAATTTAGACGAGGCGCTAAGCCAGAGCCAAGGTCATGTCACGTGAAGCTCGACATGGATGTTGTATATCCAGGGGAAATACCACGGAAACTTGATGGAGCGTGTTCAAGCAAGAGTTCCGAGCTTTCAGAGTGAAATACTTGCGGGCAGGACCTGTTGTCTCACTCCGTCTTCGAGCCCTGTATCTCCTCTCTCTTGCACCATCGCAAATCACCATTCGGAAGTCTGCGCGCCGTCACCATCAGCTTCTGCTTCGGCGGCTAGCCGTATGAAAATACCGCTGTGGGAAGATTTCTGGTGACTTTGGGAGAGGGGACTATGATGATCGCTAATAAACTAGACGTCCGAATAGAATATGGAAGGGCCTTCTGTAGAGTGGAGGCTTCTGAGAGAAGACTTTGAGTTCCATCTCCTTCGATGCACACTGAGGCATCTCTGACTCTCGGTTTATTGTTTACAGGGGACTAGAGTTAGAGAAAAAATTGCATTGCATTCAGTAATAGTGTACCACCCATTCTCCCATTTCCCATGATCCATCCATCCAACAGCCCAATGCATCCAGAATAAGCAGTGGCACCCACCCCCCAACCCCCCGAGCTTGAGTACCACCACCAGAAAACCAACGTGTGAAAGACTGAACTTGGATCATGAAAAGAAACCCACTTTGGTAAATTCTTAGTACCCACCACCGTATCCAGAACCAGGATATCCTCCTCCACCTCCACCATTATAGGGTGGCTGCTGTGGTGGGCCTGCTTGCCATCCTGGCGGAGGTGGTCCTTGTGGTCCTGGATAGAAGCCTCCTGGTCCAGGCCCTTGATCGTACGGAGCACCTGGACCACTGTAGTTTGGTTGCTGGTGATCAGGTGGGTACGGGGCGCTAGAAGGTGAGTACGGTGGAGCTCCGTGCGGTGGATAGTAGCCGGCAGGCGGGATCTGGAAGGATCCTTGTGACTGCTGAGGAGAATAGGGGGGGTTTATGTGCTCTGGGCGATGCTGCTGGTAGATTCCAGGGGGTGGGCCACCTGGGGAAGAGGTTGGACGGTCGTAGCTAGAGCTTCCTGGGCGCACGATGTTCGAGTAGCCGAATTGAGCCGGCGGGTGCATCATTCCTGGGCTGTTGGGTTGAGAAGATGGGGACATGTAGGAGTAGGCTGAGGCTGAGCGTCCATCTTTCCCTTCCATAGCTCCGAGATCACGGCTACGAATCTCGGTCCAGATGGATCCGGAGGTCTTACCGTGGCCGCCGAGAGCACCATGATCGTGGGCATGATCCAGTCCTCTTGAGTTGGAGCCACCACCCTCGCCAGAGGCTTTGTGGTTATGGCCTGCTTTAACAGAGGCAGAGCTTAGGATTTGATTCAGCTGATGACGATCTGGTTGCTCGTCTACCCACTTTCGGACCGTGTTGAACATGTTTCTGTGGAGCTCGCACTGCTCGTCGCGGAGAGCGGGATGGTGGAAGGCACGGAGAATATCTCGCATAACCTCTCCAGTGGAAACACCAGGGTTCTCCCAAGCATAGAGCACTCGGCTGTTTCTGTGTTAGTATTTGATTGATCCGAGGACGGCAATGTGCTGACGAGGGCTTGGCACTTACGGTGTGACGTATTGAAGAATTGTTGTGGCCACACGGCCTGCAACGCCATTCAACTTGTTGGAGAAGTGATCCTTCGAAAGCATGGAGTGCGTGGGATTGGTGCAGTGAGCATCATTCCATGGCTCAAATTGCTGTTTAGCGCTATGTCAAATGTCAGTAGGTGAAAGAAGCGACGGTCTAGCATCTACTACATACCTGGCTTCGACGACAGTGGATGAACCATCCTTGAGAGACTTGGAGACAGCATCAATGATGGGTCTGATGAAAGGTGCCAGCAACGATAGCACAAACACTGTAAGCTTCTCGCTGATTTTCTCAACCAAAGCCTCCAAGCCTGGAATCTTGGCAATAGTAGCACTGATGGCCTTAACAACCTTATCTCTAAACTCGAGAATAGGGTAGATTCGCTTCGAAGTCTTGATAGGATCGAAACTCTCGCTCATTCCAGGAACTTGATTACTAGACTGTCCCAGATGGGAACCAGGTGGTCCAGCGAAAGAAGTCTCAACTCTACTTCTCGCCAGTGTATTTTGGTACTCCTGCTCAGCTGATGACTCTTGAAGGCTTCTGGCAGTTGAGGCAAGGCCGCCACCCATTCCGGGAACTTGAGATAGGAGCGAAACAAAGTCCGAGCCGCCACCTGAGCCAAAGAGTGTGCCTCTGCCAGCCTGAGCTTGCTCGGCCCCCTTGAGAGCAAGATCCATCTCTTCGACTTCTGTTTGGGTGAAGTGGTCGGTGGCCTCTCCGAGAACGGAATGGAGGAAGTCAACTGCGCCAAAAGTGCCCGTAACGAGAGGGTAGATGTGTTGGCCTCTGATGTTGATCTCAGTGGCAACGCCAGTATGAGGGAATACGTCTCGATAACCCAATTCGCGAAGGGCAAGTTCACAGTAATTGGTATGGGCACCAAAGTCTTCTAAGCAATGAAGTGCTTGCCCAAGACAACGAAGAGCCTCGCAAAGATCGGCCTCTTTGCCTTTGGAGCTGCCAGAACCATTTGTGTAGAGTCTTCCGAAGTGGATGCTTCTTTCCAAGCTGAATTTCACATAGCCTGTACTAGTAGCCCAACCACCACTCTCGTTGGCGATGTAGTTCTTCATTCCGGTATCCATATCAACCTCGAGTTCGATGGGTTGAACTGGGCCTCTGAGTCGGGAATCATATTGTCTTGCATCCTTGTCATCGGCGTATCCCTTTGGATTGTCGCTAGCACGAGACAGTCAGGATTACTGTTGCGAGAAAAATACGTGATACTTCACAAGTCTTTCCGAGGTCTGGATTGGGATTCGGGCTTTTCCATGGCTTACATGTGCTCCTCAGGACGATAAGTTCCCAGTCTCTCTTCTGTGACTTCGAATTCCTCTGTGGCATAGCCAAAGGACAAGAAGCTCAGAACCCAGACCTAGTACGCATTGGTTAGTGATATCTTGCAGACGACAGAAGCCAATTAACTTACAAGAATTCGAATGGTGGGTGCTGAAACGCCTTTCAAGGAACCAACATCAACGGCTTGAGAGTAGTCACGGAGCCAGTTTCCAAAGTAAACTCGCTTTACCATCATAGAAGTCCACTTGTGACCCCGAATGAAAGCAATAGTCTTGAGCATATCCTCGATATCTGATGTTTCATTAGCCGAGGTATGGAGGGAAAGTCCAGAGCGATATCTGTACTGTGCCCATGAAGCTCTCTCAGATCGTATGATGCCGAGAGGTCTATTTCCGAAACCATAGGAATGTGAAAAGCCTCTAGCTTACTCGCTATGCCAAAACTTCACGGGCAGTTTTTGAAGGAAAGGCTAAGAACTCATTTACCTCCATGTCTGAAATTGCTTCCCTCTATTTGGGCGATCGAGGGGATGTTACCAGCGCCGAAGGCTGCAGCTGGGGTAGCGAACACCACAAGCAGCAAGCACGACAGAAGGACCCAAGATCCCGAAGTCATAGAGCCCGCTGCCATACTTAATTGCCAGGGCCGAGATGACGAATTTGTTGTCGGTAGAATTTGGAGTTGGAGCTCGAAGGGCAGGTAGCGGGTAAAGCTTGATGACGACCGAGTTGAGTTGAGAATCGGCGGGGTTTGGCGGGGTGGGTTCAAGTACCGGTACCGGTAAAAATATTACTCACCGAGCAATAACAAAGTACTTAAGGATGGAATGCGATCGTCCACTCTCTATGACACAGGTTATCGAGAAGAGATTATCTTGCCCCTTTGGCTTGAGTATCTTTATCTTATAGCATGGAGAGTAGTACCGTACCTATCACGACATGTGAATTAATCGTGATGGCAGAGTGGCTATTTTCCCTATAAGCCACAATGGAGCTGCTGAGATGCAAGCAGGGCAGTCCAGTCCAGCCCAGTCCGGTCCGGTCCGATCCAGTCCAGGTGATCAAGATCCAAAATAGTCCGTAATGACTGGAAAAAGTAGTGAAAGTATGAAGAAGAAGAAAAAACAAGAAAAAAGTAATGGAGTAAACATGATTCTGCTTGTCATGGGCCCCTTACCTGGGTACTCCTTACAGTAAGGTACCCACCCACCCCTGTGAGTCGGGTCGGCATTTTCGGATGGTTTGCCACTCCTCCGTAATTGACTGGCAGGAGATACAGTAAGTACCGGTAATCTCTTCTGGCGCATCGCATCCATTTCTCGCGATTGATTTATTATACAAAGTCGGAGTCTTCTCTTTCCCAAGACTGACGACCAACGTTCTCGTCTCTCTTCCTACAGTCAGTCCTGTGGTTACTCTCCCTCCTGGCCTTTCCTCCCTACATAGCCAGCCCGCCCTACTCGGTCGAACTATCCTCCGCTGCGCCCTCGATCCGATCCGAACCGAACATCATCACCGTCACATTCGAACCACCACATTCGAACCACCACTTTCGAACCACCACTTTCGAACCACCACCATCTCGAGACTCCCCTTATCCCTTCGGAAGCGCTTTCGAAAAATTGTCGTCATGTCCCCCTCACGCACGCTTCCAACCTTCCTGCAGGATGAGGTCGCGGTTCACAATACCGCGGAGAGTTGCTATGTTACGCTGGGTTCCCGTGTCTTTGACATCACGGACTTCCTGGACAGCCATCCTGGCGGGGGCGAACTCATTTTGGAGTATGGTGGCAAGGATATCACCGACATCTTGAAAGATCAGGACTCGCATACTCACTCGGAAGCGGCGTATGAAGTACTGGCCGACTCTCTGGTCGGATTCGTCGCAACGCCGAAAGTGATGGATGCCGCCGTCGAGAGCCACAGCCCAGATCAGATTGTGCCTCTGCCCCCGATGTATGACGGATCGGGCGAAATAAAACAGAGCAATGCTCCCGATAGAATCCCAGTCTTCAAAGCTACTGGGATGTCCTCTGCAGAAGACCTATCAAGAGAGACGGATGTCATCGACGATTACAAGACGCACAAGTTCTTAGATCTCAACAAGCCCTTGCTGATGCAAGTATTCTTTGGGGGCTTCAGCAAGGATTTCTACCTCGAACAAATCCATCGACCACGTCATTACAAGGGAGGGGAATCGGCGCCGTTGTTCGGAAACTTTCTCGAGCCCCTTTCAAAGACTGCATGGTGGGTTGTGCCTACGATCTGGCTCCCGCCTGTCATGTATGGAACGTACGTCGCATCGAGAGGCTTTCCTACTATTGCCGCAGAGGCGGTTTATTGGTTCTTTGGCCTGTTCTTGTGGACCTTGATAGAATATGTTCTGCACAGATTCCTGTTTCATCTCGACACGTAAGTAAAGACTCGCGTACCGTTAAAATCCTCAAATCTGACCTGCACTAGATGGCTCCCCAACCATCGAGTTGCGCTGACCCTTCACTTCTTGCTACACGGCATTCATCATTACCTTCCTATGGACAAGCTTAGACTCGTCATGCCGCCCACGTTGTTCCTGGCTCTTGCTACGCCCTTCTGGAAGCTCGCCCATGCCATCTTCTATTGGGACTGGAATGTTGCAACGGCGGTTTTTTGCGGTGGGGTCTTCGGATACATCTGCTACGACTTGACACATTACTTCCTTCATCACCGCAATCTGCCATCATACTGGAGAGGGCTGAAGAGGTACCATTTGCAACATCACTTCATGGATTACGAGAACGGCTTCGGTGTCACGAGTAGATTCTGGGACGTCATATTCGGTACCCAACTCGCGCCCCCACCAGTCAAGGCTTTGTAGAAGTGCTTCAAATATGTATGGGCTTAAACGGTCAAGCAACGATGTAACGACTGGGGAAGAAAAGCTCAAATTGGGCGTTTGGTTATCCACGATATGGGTGTAAATAGGACGCTTCTTCTCCGTAGTCTTATAATAATTAATGAGATTCAATTCACACATTGATGTGTTACCACGTGCATGAGAGAGAAAATGGCTTGCAAGTTGCCCAGTCCTGATGTTGGGGCTGATACCGGTACTAGCCGGCCTTTAAACCACTAGCGCCGTCAAGCGACTGCCCCTCAAATCTCTTTCCTTCTCGCCAGTTGATGCAATGCCACCAGCCAACTAACAACGAACAAATCGATTCGACATCTATTGAGGTTTCTAAGTTCTTTCGGTCTCACACATCTCACACATCGATCGCTCTTATTTGGTACACATCATTGCCCTCAAAGTTACCAGGTTCAGGAATCCCCCCCTATTCATCATGTCCGCTCTCGACGTCGAGGCGCTCCTCGATTCGACCGCCAACGCCGCTCCAGCTGACCAGAACGGATCCGCGAAATTAAAGGATGCAGATGATCGTCATAAAAATGAGCGCAACGACCGCCGTGATCGAGAGCGTACTCGTGATGGAAGCAGAGACCGTGATCGCGACCGCAAGCGCCGTGACCGCAGCAGACCCAGAAGAGAGGCCAACGGAGATAAGGATCTGATTGGGACGCCTGGAAGTGACCATGGCAGTGCTCAGGGAAGTGTCAAGAGTAGGCGCAGAAGCCGAAGCCGTGAAGAAGATCGCCGACACTCACGCCGCCACAGAGACAGCCCCGACGAAGGTGGCCGGAGAGATGGTGATTTTTACAGAGGGAATGGTCGCACTCGCTCACGTTCCAGAAGCCCAAACAGATACTATCGTCCTCGAGGAGATCGCCGAGACAGAGATGATCACGAAGGTGGCAAGCCTAGAGAAGACCGCCGAACCAGAAATGAGGGACGACGAGCAAGTAGAAGCCCAAAGAGAGAGACTACACCCCCTTTGACTGAGGATGAGCGTGATCGCCGCACAGTCTTCGTCCAACAACTTGCTGCTCGTCTTAGGACTAAAGAACTAATTGCCTTTTTCGAGAAAGTTGGTCCTGTTAAGGAGGCTCAGATCGTCAAGGACAGAGTCAGTGGTAGATCCAAGGGGTAAGTAATCGCTTCTCTGCATCGGTTTTGTCTGCTAACGATTGGCCTAGTGTCGGCTACGTTGAGTTCAAGAACGAAGAATCGGTCCCTGCTGCTATTCAACTCACTGGTCAAAAGCTCCTAGGAATCCCTATCATTGCCCAGCTCACAGAAGCCGAGAAGAACCGCCAAGTCCGCAACCCCGAAGCAACCAGCAGTAACCCGAACCAGATCCCGTTCCATCGACTCTATGTGGGTAATATCCATTTCAGCATCACTGAAAGCGATTTGCAGAACGTTTTTGAACCTTTTGGAGAGCTCGAGTTTGTCCAGCTGCAAAAGGAGGAGCAGGGTCGCAGCAGAGGCTATGGATTTGTCCAGTATGTTCCCTAAGTCCCTTCGTAGACTCAATACGCTAACATCTCCCAGGTTTCGAGATCCTAGTCAAGCTCGTGAGGCCTTGGAAAAGATGAATGGGTTTGATCTCGCGGGCCGACCAATTCGCGTGGGTCTTGGTAACGATAAGTTCACCCCTGAATCTACCGCCAGCCTTCTCCAGAGATTCCAGGGACAGAGCCACCAACAACAGTTCCAGGGTTCCGCATTCTCCGGTGCTGGCGGACGTGGTCCACAAGCAGCCAATGGAGGCAACTTCGATCGTGCGGGAGGCCGTGATAACGAAAAGAGCTCAGGAGGTGCTAGTGCCTTGGATGACACCGACGTTGGCGGGGTAAACTTCAACAACTATAGTCGAGATGCATTGATGAGGAAACTTGCCAGAACAGATGAACCAGCTCCCGCTACCAAGGGCCGTGACGAAAGACGAGAGGTTGTCAAACCAAAGACCGAGGCCAAGGCATTGCCAGTCAATGTCAACATGGCAAGCAGATGCGTAGTGCTCAAGAACATGTTCGACCCTGCAGAGTACGATACCCTCTTCTCCTTCAATAACAGCACTGCTGACAATCTCCGCAGAGAAGAAGGTGATTCCTGGGAAAAGGAGTTGGAGGATGACGTCCGCGCAGAGGCAGAGGAGAAATATGGCCACGTTGTTCACATTTCTCTAGATCCAAACTCCCAGGGTGACATCTACCTGAAGTTCGATCGGGTTCAAGGAGGCGAGAATGCCATCAAAGGTCTGAACGGCAGATACTTTGGTGGGCGGATGATCAGTGCTACACCTGTTGTGGATGCCGTCTACAGCAGTTTGTTTTCTCGAACACGCGCTATCTAAGCTGCTAATTCTGGCCCGTCCTGCTTGACTCTAGGGTCCTTTCGTGTACGTTTTCTCTCTTCTGGCATCCCTCTAAACTATGTCTCACGCTAATTTCTGCTTCTTCTAGGCTTCAAGTTAATTCGATCCCTCCACCACTCGCTCCTCTAGGTCTTCATCACTCCGCTACATTTCAGTCCCATCTACAGCTATTCCTGGCCTCTCCTGTCTTCGACTACCCAAAAACTTCGACGCAGTACACGAGTTTCGAGAGCCTCGCTGATATCTTGATCACTAGGGGATTTTCTTTCGCATGTTCCAGGGTCGGGTGTTCGAGCGAGATTACTGATTCTGCTGATTGCACACAGGCATTTTACTTGCACGCAGATAGGTATTTCTTGGGACGTTTTTCTTCTTCTGGCGTTCTACCGCGTGTTTCATAGCGAATACAAATATGCCTTCTAAGTTTCTCTATTTCTTGGTGATTCGTGAGAGTGATATAGCCTGGTCTGGCGTCAATTATGCGGCTCTAGAACGCATATGTAGATGGCGTCGTGCTCCGAGTCTGAACCTCTGCTCCAACTGTCTTTCATACCTACCTATGTAGGCATGCGGAAGAAGATGGCTGGATGGTATTCTTTCGCCGAGGGCTGGCCCGACCCAAAATGAGCGCGAGCTCTCAAAAAAAAGTTGGTTGGGATTATTCTCAGGTCCCTTCCTGTCAGGCACTCGTTCTTTCACTCACGGGAGAGCACTCGGTCGGCGGATCACTCAAGGAGGAGAGGAGGAACGAGGGAACATGTAACTGGTGGTGGCGTTTGCGAGGTCAGTCGTTTAAATTTGATATTTTCACGGAGGTCTTCCGCAGGTCTCACGGAGAGGAACTTGGCTAATGGCCAATGCCGGTACTGATACATACTTGGGTATGTGGTGTTTTTCTTTTTGAAGGGGGGGGGGGGGATGGTAGTTAGGTACCTTAGCGGAGCAAGCCGGGATTCTAGAACCGTGTAGCTGACCGTGTAGCAGCCTTAGGCCGTGTAGCTGACCGTGTAGCAGCCTTAAGCCGTGCAATGACCGTGTAGAAATTTTAAACCGTGTAAAGACCGTTAGCGAAAGCTACAAGTACTTTAGTAAAAGCGGAAAGGTAAGTAACGTAAGCATTTCGTGACTTCAAGCACTTATAAGAATGGAATAAAACGAGAGTATTTCTTTATTAATTCTTCATTTCTATTTGTAAAGTTTAGATTTCACGATCATAGCGATACGTTAATATAGCTTTAAAGTTCAACGTTGTATTCTATAAGTATCTCTAGTAGTATAAGCAGAATTACTACGCTTCTAGCTTTTAACTCCTTCTCGATAAACAAATATAAAGCTGCTATTGAAAGTGATAAAAGCGAGCTAAAGTAAAAGACCTTTTTATTATCTAAGAGTCTTCTTCTTCTTCGGCGCCTTAATAATTGTCTTTATTAAATCGAGGCTCGTCGTTTATAGCATTATTACTATTAAAAAGAAAACGAGCTACCTTTTAAAGAGTACCGCTTTTAAGTTCAGCGCTAGCTCTATTAATACTTTTTTATTAATTGTTATCTACGAAAAGGTCGTCATCTTAAGCTTAACGCTTCTTCGAAAGAAAAGGGCGAGACAGTTTGACGTTCTTTAAAAAGATCTTTTAGTAATTAACCTTTACCGCTAGCTCTTTTTTAGCTTTATTTATAAAAGTAAAGTCGCTGACGTTTAGATTTTAGAAAGCTGAATGCTTCGGAAAAGAATCGTATATTTGCATTAGCTTAATACGCAAATCGCTTTTACTTTGACTTTTAACACTTCGCATCTACGCACGGGAAGCAATAGTTAAGTTAGAATAAACCGCTAAGATAATAGTTAGCATCAGCTTAAATTCGTAATATCGGTTAACTTACTACGGATAAAGTATTAGTTAAGTTCCTTAGACTTTTTTAAGCTAATTATGCTTTTAAGATAGTATTAGATGTGATAGAAAATGGTTTAGTTTAAAAGAGAAAACAAACGATTTTTAAACTGATCGTTATTAAAAGCTTAAACATTTAATAAAGTATTTTTAATCTCTTTTATGTTCTCTTTCAGCTTCTTTAACATCTTGTGACGACTCGTCCCTTTTGGCCATGCTGGCCTATGCCTCAGGCTTCGCCAAGGCTCCAAGCGAGCCCCTTGGCCACACATGTATATAGCTTGCTTTCAGACCTGTTTTGGTTCTGTACCTTGATATTCTAAGCACATTACTAACAGTTTGTCTGAGCTTTTCGTGTCGTCATATTATATCAAGGTCAAATTTTTTTTTCCGACCTCGAATCGACCTTTCTCTCCGTTCGGCGCGATTCGCTATAGCTTTTCAATTCGAGTCGTTGTACCGCTCCACGCTACAGCCAATTCTTATTGCACCGCTATTACCGCACTTATCGCCTCTATCGAGCGACCTTTATTCGAGCTCTCCTCTTCTTTTAAATCAGACAATTTCTTTGCTACGGCGAGAAGGCCTATTCCGAGCAGCATATTATAAGACTCGACGCACGGCAGCCCTCCTTCCAGATTTTTCCTGCTGAACACTAAGTAACTGTTCAATCGACAATACGATACGGATCTCTTTACCGAGCCTTTCTGTTCAAGAGCTTGCACTTGACTGTATTATACCTTCTTTCCTTCTTTCTTTTTCTCTTCTTTCGATAGAACCTTATATTATCGCTATAGCACATTGGCTCTAAGACCTGGCCGATAGCAAACATCAATATACAAAGAACCTCGACCTTTGTACTCGGCAGCTCGTCCGCTCAATCTCTACGCGATATAAGGCTCTTACTAAACCCCTTTCCTCCTTTTCGACACTTCTATCGGATAAGACTTTATCGACATATAATACTCGTCTCGCTAAGCTTTCCGAGCTGATTTTTCGACATCTTTTAGCCCCTCCTCTTCCGGACATTCAAAAAGATATCCTTGCGATCGTGCAAGATATCAAAGGGATTACAATAAATACAGAAAGCTGCGTGCTAAACGAGGCTCTAAGGATACAAACAATTGCCGATATGATGGAATAGACGGTGGACCGCTTTAATAGAGAATGATTTTAATAGCTTAAACGGGATATATATACTTATACTCGAAGACGAGTGATCGCTGCGTTGCAACTCCGCTCTTTTTTTTACGAAAGGGGGGTAGTGTGACGACTCGTCCCTTTTAGCCATGCTGGCCTATGCCTCAGGCTTCGCCAAGGCTCCAAGCGAGCCCCTTGGCCACACATGTATATAGCTTGCTTTCAGACTTGTTCTGGTTTTGTACCTTGATATTCTAAGCACATCACCAACAGTTTGTCTGAGCTCTTCGTGTCGTCACACATCTTATGCTTTTAAATACGGATATTATCTTTGAATTTAATCTTGTATATATTAAAGATAGAATCCGAGTCTTTAAGATTTTAGTTAAAGATTTTTCGGATTATATAAAGAGCAAAAAACTATAAATAGAATATAAAGCTATTAATTCGAACTTCTCGATCGAACTTACGAAAAAGACTTTTATTATTATCCGCGAGATTAAAGTCACTTGCGATATCCTTATTAATATCTCGGTTTGCAAAAGCTTCTTTTATTAAATTCTTGCGCGGACGTAATCTTTTTGCAAGCGGCGCTAACGGTTATTAGAAATTAGCATAGCTAAGTTAAAGATTAAGCTGTGTAAATGTACTAGTAGTCGAGGTATTCGATATACTTTCGGTAGCTTTTAAAGTATCGGCGAGCGACGATCGTAAAGTAGCAATCGAAAGCAAAGCGCTTTTATAGCTAAAAGTAGCCGGAATAAAAGTAGCAAAACTTTTAAAAGCATTATTAAATGTTTCGCTTAAAAAGTTGCGGCTATTTTGGTTTCCGTATAACAATGCGATCTAAAGATTAAAAGCTTAATCGATTAAACTACTAGCACTTTATAGTTTAAGATCTATATTAAGCGAGAAGTTTAAGTTGTCGAAAGTTAAAAGACCGGAGTTATAAGCAAGTAAAAGACGGTTTTATTAGCTTTATTAGCCTTTTTAACTTATCGATTGATTATTCTTTGCAAGTGGATTGCTTATTAAAAACTAAGCGCTTTCTTGAATTCTACTTCGACCTTAGCCTTTTCTTCCTTTACTTTCTCGAAGCTCTTTAATAACTGCAGCTGCGTCGGCTGTGACGAACTGATGAATTCTGACCTTAGAATACAAAGTGAGGAGAGGAAACAGGAAGCTCGGGGAGCTCAGGAAGGTCTATATACATGGCCACAGGCGCTAGGCCTGGATGAGTGATCAGCTGATGCAAGTAACGAGGCAGGCTGTCACACTACCCCCTTAGAGAGCTGTCCCAGCTCTCTCAAAAGTACTTGACAGAAGAAGGAAAAAATAAAAAAAATTCAGTCGTGAACTATGGTTTACGGGTGGAATTGCTAAAAAAAAAACCAAAAAAAATACGCCGAGGCTACAGATCGCGATAATCGTCAGGGTCAGCGTCGTAGCCTCTAGAAGCGTTCTATTCCGCTAAAATTTCCTCTTTTTCGTCCGAGTCAAACTCGCTTAAACCTTCATTTTCTTTGACGGGTCGGTCCGAAAAAGGGTCCTAAAGAACTCGCTTCTTTGTCAAAGGCTTAGCTAAAAGGAAAATACAGCTAGCTATCTAGTGGTCAATTGCACCGCAACGGGTACAGCGATTTGATTTGCGCTAAGCTTCGCGCTGATCGAGAGTGCTATGAAGAGCATGCTAAAGAGTAAGGTATCGGTCTTCCAATTGCTGAGTTTGGTCAGCCTCGTGAGCGTCGATAAGCTCTATAGCGCCGAGCTCGTTGGCGTGCTGCAATTGCTCGAGTTGTTAAGCGCGGTCGACTGCTAAAAGGTCCATTGGGTCGCCGGGAAAAAGGCCCGTTGACGTGCGCGAGCGGTTTTAAGGAAAGGGAGCCGAAGGTCGAGGGAATCCGTGGGACGGGCCGGAAGGACCGGAAGAGCCGGAAGAGCGTCTAAGTTGCTAAGTGACGTGCACGTATTCGGTATACGTAGTTAAGAGAGTCAATTAGCCATTCAAACGGGTCCGTATAATTGAGTTCAGACTATTGCGGAACGCAATAATCTTATTAGCGTCGGGCCAAGTCTGATAGCGAGCAGCGTGCAAAAGTCGTTCGAAGCGTAAAACGTAGATATAGAAAGCGTCCGTACCTTGCTTGCAAGCAAGCAGCTTATCTTTAGCCTTTTGAATTTTGTTTGGATTGTCGTAAGCGAGAGCGAGCTGATCCAGAAGAGTATTGTAGTCTTAATTATCGGAGTCTTAAGCTGAGGCCAATTGAATCAAAACCATTGCTTAAGGACCGGGTTCTATATTGAAGTAAACGTAATAGAACTGCGCAATAGGTCCGCTAAGAGCCTTACCGTCGACGAGAAGCTTGGCCTTGATTGAAAGGAGCCAAGTATCTTACCGCTGAACCGTACCGTTGAACTTATCGAGATCCGGAAAGACGCATTTGCGCTAGCGAAAGGCTATTCGTAATTGCTCTACGAAAGACTTTAATTGAGCGATTCTCGTAAGGGGGGAAGGGCCGTCGTCTTCGTGGGAGGACATGGTGGTAGAATAAAAAGGGAAGGGGAGCGTTTGAGTGTCGGAAACGCCAGGAAAAAGAGTGGGAAAGAGAGTTCGTCTTGCAACCGAAGTGCAAAAATTAAAGGGAGCTTTTTTAAGTCGGAAGAGCTGAAGAAAAGGTAAGGTCGTAAAAAAGACAATAATCTGTAAGCAATAAATGAAGACCGTAGAGCACCTAACAAGTAACTCACTCCGTTCTTGACAATAATCAATAAGCCGTAATCTATAATAATAAGCAATAATCAATAAGCTGTAATACGACGACTTAATCGAAGGACTTTGTATAATGTGACGAACTGATGAATTCTGACTTTAGAATACAAAGTGAGGAGAGGAAACAAGAAGCTCGGGGAGCTCAAGAAGGTCTATATACATGGCCACAAGCGCTAGGCCTGGATGGGTGATCAGCTGATGCAGGTAACGAGGCAGGCTGTCACATCGGCACGCTTCTTCGAGGCTATAGCAAGTATTCGAAGATGCGATTAATTATATAATAAAAACAAGCGTGTAAGTACGATTAAAAAGTTAAAAAGTATAAAGTTCGAAGTTGATAAAGCTAAGCGATAAAAGACGGAAAAGATTAAAAGTGCGAGAGCGGCCGCTTTTAATACGAAAGCGGCCGCTTTTTATGCGAAAGCGGCCGCTTTTAATGCGAAAGCGGCCGCTTCTTATGCGAGAGCAGCCGCTTTTAACGCAAAGCAAGCATTACGTTTTTTTTAGCGCGAAGTAAACTAAAGCTAAAGCTTATTGCTTTAACTTTATTGCTTTTACTTTAACTTTATTGCTTTTACTTTAACTTTACTTTTTTAAATTAATAATATTACGATCTTTACTTTCTTAGCTTTTTAAACGGTTTTAATCTATCGATAGCATTATTTTTTTAACTTTTTCATTCCGTTTTATATCGCAACTTTATTAATTTATCACTTACTTGCAAACTACGATTATTAAAATAAAGTCTTTTAAAATTAAGTTTAAAGATACGAAACTAAACATTTTAAAAGTTCGCGGCATTAATGCTAGCGGTTTAATAGACTTCGATATACCTTTCGAAGACTTTGATAAGCAGCTAGACTTTAGTAATGACTTTTAATTTCGCAAACGACGACGCGATTTTAAAATAAATGCTAGAGATAAAGACTACGAAGTTAAGCAAGCTTTCGAAAATAATAAAATTCTAAAAGATAACGGTATAAAAAATTTAAGTAACGCAAACGACTTAATAAGCTTATATTACGTCTTTAAATACGTATTTTTAACTTATACTTTCTAGCTTATATATCAATTAGCGCGATATATAATAAAAAAAGATTATAACTTAAATATTAAGCTCCCTTTTAATATTGATCTTTAATAGATCTAGTTCGAAGATCAATATTAAAACTCCGAGCTTAAAAAGCTTATTAAAAATGTTATCGAGTCCGCTTAATTCAATTAGCAAGAAGTTAACGATAATACTGCAAAAGCATCTAATGCACGCTCTTTGATCTTCGAGCTTCTTTAAACCTTACGTCGTAATAAATTCGAATTGCTAGCTTTAAACCCGAACGATACGTTTAAGCTAATTAAGCACCGTTATTATTTTAACGAGAATATATTAAAGCTAAAAATAAGCTTCGGTATATTTATAATGAATTTTAAAATGTTTAGTACGGAATACTTAGCGTTGCATTAATTATTAAGCACATTTACCGATCCGGTATTCAAAAACCTTTTTGCTTTTATTAGCATATTTAAAAAGCATATTGAAAAAGCACTTCTACTCTTTTAAATACGCAAAAAAGAAATTCTATTTATCTTCGAAAAGCTTATTATAAAGACTGTTATTCGTAAAGCAGAAAAACAAGCCGACGATAATCTAAAAAAAGACTTTCATTTTTTAAACTTAATCGACTTATATATTAAGTTTATAGCTTTAAATATTAGCAAATCTCTTTACACCGAGTTAATAAAGTTTATTAATAACCTTATAAAGCTATAGCAATCTCGCTATTAAGCTTCTTTTGTTCGATCATCTTTAAAAGAGTATGCTTACTTTGTGACTGTGACGACACGCCAAGTCTCCTGGACGCACCTCACATGCGCCAAGCTACTTCTTTCCTTTTTTCCTTCGTATTCTTCGTATTCTCTTATTCCCCGCTTTTGACTTATAAACTATGGTTTACGAGTCCTTAGCGCTTCTACCTTCGTGTATATAGACCTCAGCTACTTTCGACCTTTATACTCGATAGTTGTTGATTCTAAGTCATTACTTTAAGATTCTCTTAAGCTCTTATGTGAACCTCGCGCTCCCGTGAGTTCCTTTAAGTAATCGCTTAAGGTCGTTATATTATTAACAACTACCGCACTCCGCCGAGAACGGCTTTAATAATATTCTTTTTTTTTAAAATTCTTTAATAGTTAGACGTTAAAACACTTAGACGACTCTAACGGTCACGAGAAGGCTTATTCTG